AACAAAAAAAACACCAAAATAAGCTATTGAATTTTTTTTACTATCAGTTTATCTAGTCCTTACTGCTTCCATACGTATTAGATGCTTTAAGAAATGCTTTCGAGGGACTGGCAGGTAGTGTGGTGCTTAAGATGCCAGACTCCCACATGGCCACTGGAGTCCTGAACCCAGCAGCTTGAAAATCATGCCAGACACATGTGCACATGTGCCAAAAATATTGACAGGAGACTGGAGGAGAAGGGATTGTAGCGTGGCCATCCCTCTTGTGGGGTCATTTTTCGCTTTCCCTCTCTCTGCTTTGTCTCTCTCCAACAAGCACATATTGCTATGGCAGAAACCTAAAAAAGAAAAAAAAAATGAAAAAGAATGATTTTTGTAATAGATTTGACTTTTTTAGACATCAGTAGGAGTATTAGCCCCCCCACGCCCTACTACTGAGTCATCTGAAAAAGTCATGACACCTTGTTGCATAGAAGAACCGAAAAATACATTGTGACTTTTCCAATGACCCAATATATCCTACTGGAAAGCAGAACATGTTCAAGTGTTTGGAGTGCTGCCATGTGCCAGAGACTGTTCCAGCTTCCAAGTACAGGATTGCCCCAGCCGTGAGCCCTTAGTCAAACATAGGTAAGACAGACATACAGAGAACATAGCCTGCCAAGTACTGCCTTGGAGGTGTGTACACAGTGGTGGAAAGAAGAGACACACGTGGAATAACACCACCTGTTTAGAAAATTGCAAGATTTATCATTTTACATGGTTGCAATTAAGAGTTCAAGAGATGAAACAAAGAGATGAGGTCAGTAAGATGGGCAGAGCTCATGGTAGAGGGCCCCATATGCCATGGCACAAAACTGTTTGTATTTTGCTGACTACGGAGAGCAGTTGAAGAATGTTAAAGATGGGGAAGGATAGTCTGATTTTTAAAATATTTTTTTCTTCGTGATAGATTATGTGTGCATGTGTGAAAGAGATAGAGAGGGAAAGGGGAAGAGAGAGAGAAAGAGAACCTCTCCACAGGGTTTGATCACTCCACAATCCACAGTCTGTTCCCCCTACTCTTCCAGCCCAGATCCTGGGCACTCATGTGCAAGCCCAGCATGTTTTAGACTGACTGGACAGGGGATTTGAACCACACCTGCCACATAGGATCTGGCTAGTCTTTAGCCATGTTGTCTCTATGCCGCAGAGCTGGCCCAAGTGATCAGATTTTTCATTTTAGAAAGATCAAGTAAGTGCCAATGTGAAATGAGAATTCCAGAAGGGCGGGCGCACAGGCAAGGGGCCAGAGAGGAAACATTGAATCCATGCTGCTCATCAACAGGTCTGGGAAATAGCAAAGGGTAGAACCGATGAAATGTAGGGATTTAGAGGAAGATGAAAATGAGCAGAGACGCTAAGATTTCTGGCCTGGGTGAGGACCGTAAATCACGAAGGGAATGCAGTAGAAAGCAGACGATTCAGTTTTGGATATGTTTTGTGTTCTCGTTTCATTAGCTCTCTTAGAATGTTGTCATATAATCTGAGAACATAGTTTGGGAACCACCACCCTGGGAAACCAGGTTGTCTTCTTTTTTTTTTTTTCTTTTTTTTTCTTTTTTTTGGGGGGCAGGGGAGGTTTTTGCCATAGGGCACATGCGCTCCCCAGACAGACAGAGAGAGACAGAAAGTGAGAAATCACCGGGATGACCATACCGCAATCCCTTCTCCTCCATTTTCCTCTCGGGATCTTGGGCACGCACGCACACGCGCCCGGTGTGAGTTTAAGCCGCAAGGTCCGGGACTCAAACCGCGGTTGGCTACATGGGAGTCCAGTGACATAGCCATTACGCTAACTGCTGGTCCTCCAGGTTGTCTTCTTGAAACTCGTAAGGTAAGTAAGAGAGATGCAGAGCCCCTAGGCTTTGCCCTCACCCCAGTTCTAACAAGAGACCCTCTGATTGTGTCTGTTTTACATTTTGTTTCCATGGACACATTTTACTTGAAAAAAGTATTCCATGCTAAAAGAATAAAGTTACCAGTGTTTCTTTATCATTCATATTCCCCTTTTATATCTTGTTTTGAGCTGTTTGAAAATAACTGTCCTCGTTTTGAGCTGTTTGTCCTTTGTCACGTATCTTCCTCTGGTAGGATATTTGGGTGATGTCGTCTCTGAATCCTTGCATGTTGTTCTTCTACCTTGGCAAGTGAGTCTTAGCTGTCTGTACGGTGAGGATCAGAATCCTTTATTTGCGGCCAGTAGATCTATTCCACTGCCTTTTAGCATCCATCATTGCAAATGAGAAGTTCAGAACCAATCTCTTTTTCATAGTTATTTGTTATTTCTTCCTGAAAACATGCATGATTTTTCTCTTCGTCTTTAGAGTTCAGGAATTTTACCAGAATGTGACTAGGTATGCTCGTCAATCTCCAGATAAATCTTTTAGCAGCTAAGGGAAACGTTTCAGTTATTTGTTTGCTCTAGCACCTCCATCTGTTCCTTTTTCTCCTTCCAGTTTGCCAGTTATTTACATGTTAGTTCTTCCAGATCTGTCCTCCAAGTCCTACAATTTCCATCTCTTTGTATTCCTGCTCAAAGTGTTTTGATAGCACTACCTGATCTTCCAGGCCACTAATTGGGTCTTGGCAATTAATCATCTTCTTTTTTGGGTATGGAAGATAATGTTTTTAATTCTGGTCTGGCCTCAGTTGCATACCTGGTAACATACAAACTGCAGTACTGACGACAGATTCAGATTCCCATCCAGGTCAACCTGAAGCAGAACTGACACGCACTTGCCCAAATGACGAGGGCTTCTGGGAGAGGGAACAAGTAGGGTGACAAGAAGTTCTTGAGATATTTTTGCTATAGGATGTGTGCACTCACCAGAGAGATGGAAAGTGAGAAATCACCCCCCAGGAGGGATGGCCGTGCTGCGGCCATTTTCCTCTCAGGATTTTGGGCACACACATGCCTAGCATGAGTTTCATTGAGTCCTGGACTGAAAGTGTGTTGGGCCATGTGGGAATCCAGATTCTTAACCACTACACCACATCTTACATGCACACCCATTCTCTATCATGAAAAAATAAAACTTTAAGAAATATCTTTCAACTTGAACTTGAATTTCCTTAATTGGATCTTGTATTATTACTCAAATTCTTGTCTTCATCTTTTAGTGGTTCTGTTAATCTAAGATTTACCACCTCAAGGAATGTAGAAATGCTTTTCCTACCTCTGACACTAGATCCCATTAAGCTTTTATCTTCCTTTCCTACCTGTGGATCCAACTGTTGGGTCATTGGAAAAGTCATGACATATTTTTCTATGCAAAAAATGTGTCGTGGCTTTTCCAATGATCCAGTAACTAATACCTCAGGCAGGGAATGGCATCGCAGCCTCTGGATCATCTGTGTATAAGCTGTATATAGACCATATGTAGTAGCCAAATGTGAGTTTCTTGGCTGGCCTGGATGTCAGTGGGGAGTCTTTAGTCCCCTGCCAAGCTTTATAGTATCCACACATGGTGTTTTCCTAGCGGGGTGTAGAGAAACTCCAACTTCTTCTCTTCCCTGGCTTTTTGGAGCCACAGAGACCAGGAGATGTCCCCCAAGCAGTGCCCTCCCTCGTATGGGTCCATAGATTTCCATGCCCAGACTCTCTCTAGGGTAGGAGGCTTGACTGTGCCCTGCAGCCCTCTCTTGACCTAAGGGGGAAATCTGGCACTAGCTTTGAGCAATTCCTGTTCACACCCACCAGACACCACTTGCCTGCTAGTCAAACTAGAGAGATGCAGAGCCCTAGGCTTTGCCCTCACCCCAGTTCTAACAAGAGACCCTCTGTGTCTATTTTACATTTTGTGTAGCTACTCTATTCAGGAGCTTTTGTTAAATTGGGGATAGAGGGAGGCAGCAGAGATACTGTCTTGTCATTACCTATTCAGAAGCCCCCAGCAAGTAAAGAAAGTAGAAAGAGAGAGAGAGAGAGACTGCCAGACTGGATATTGTCTAAGCCTCCATCCAGTGCCAGCATTTTACAGTTGTACACATTTATGGTCTCTAGCTTCAGCTTGATCCTCAGTACCCTTGGGCCATACTTTTATGTCTTCCCAGCATGCTCTGCATCCCCAAAGGGAATATTCAAGACTTTATTTCTCTCCTCAAGCCCTCAGTTTATCCTCCTTCCTGTTCACTGTCGGCCCATGACTTTGAATTTTTCCTTGAGAAAAAAAAAAAAAAAGACTCTCAAGGCATTAAGTTGCTCAGTTTCTTCATACCTATAAACCTGTTTCCATTCCTTCCTGCCTGCCTGCCATCCATCTTTCCATCCTGCTGGAATGTTCTCCCATGATTTCTGAGACAGTGTGTGCACTTGGATTCCTGTCTGTCTGGGCACTCCATTTCATGTTGCTTTCAGTGTCACCCAAAGCTGGTCTTTCTCTGACCTTACTGACTGTCAGGAGACCTTTCCAGTGCATAAAATTAATCATATTATATACCCTGCTTAAAATCTCTTGAAGACAAGAACAGGCAAAACTAGTCTGTAGTGATAGAAGTCAGAGTAGTGGTTACCTCCAAGCAGAGAAAATAGGAATTGATTGCAAAGAGGCATGAGGGAGCCTGCCAGGGTGCTGGAAATAGTCTGTATCTTACTTTGGTCTTCACATACATAAAAATTTAGTGAGCTGTACATTATGATAGTGCTTTTTACCCTGCATACACTTCATTTTAAGAAGACAAATCCCGGACCAGAAGGTGGTATGGTGGTTAAGGTGCTGGATTACGGCCTACCACGGTTCAAGTCCTGGACCCAGAGGCTTGAAAATTATGCCGAGCATGTTACTTCCCTCACTAGACTGAGGGCTAAGAATAGGAACCACCTCTTTTCCGTTTTATTGCTCCCTTAGTGCCTTAAGCCGTGACTGGCACATAGGCCCCCAGTAAATGTCTGTTGAATGAATGCATGGAAGTTCGCTTTGTGAAAAGTTACTGAAAAGTTCCCTTCCTCCCTCCTGCAGATGTTTCCTCAGATGTGTCCTCATTGAGAGGAAGGCACTATGGCAGTTTTTGATACCCCTGAGGAGGCCTTTGGCATTTTACGTCCAGTGTGTGTTCAGCTCACAAAGACCCAGACAGTGGAGAACGTGGAACATCTGCAGACACAATTACAAACTGTGAGTGACTCTGCCCTTCAGGAACTTCAGCAATACATCCTCTTCCCCTTGCGGTTTGCTCTCAAGACCCCAGGTCCCAAAAGAGAGCGCTTGGTCCAGAGCGTGGTGGAATGCCTGACGTTTGTCCTCTCTTCAACATGCGTAAAAGAACAAGAGCTTCTCCAGGAACTCTTTTCAGAACTCTCTGCTTGTCTGTATTCACCCAACTCCCAAAAACCTGCAGCTGTATCAGAGGAGTTGAAATTGGCTGTGATCCAGGGACTCAGCACATTAATGCACTCGGCTTACGGGGACATTATTCTGACTCTTTATGAACCCTCCAGTCTGCCTCGCTTAGGATTTGCTGTATCTTTACTGTTAGGCCTAGCAGAACAGGAGAAATCAAAGCAAATTAAAATTGCTGCCTTAAAATGTTTACAGGTTCTACTCTTCCAGTGTGATTGTCAAGACCATCCAAAGTCCTTGGATGAGCTTGAGCAAAAGCAGCTGGGGGATTTGTTTGCCTCTTTTTTACCTGGAGTTTCAACTGCGCTGACCAGGGTTATCACAGGAGACTTTAAACAAGGTCACAGCATTGTCGTATCTTCCCTAAAGATCTTTTACAAGACTGTAGGCTTCATTATGGCTGATGAACAGCTCAGAAAAATCTCAAAGGTACAAACAAAGCCTGCAGTTGAACACAGAGTAGCAGAGCTGATGGTTCACAGGGCAGCAGACTGGGTAAAAAGTACTGGTGACAAGTTGACTGTCCTTATTAAAAAGATAATTGAGTGTGTTTCAGTTCACCCACACTGGAAGGTGAGGCTAGAACTTGTAGAACTTGTAGAAACCCTTCTTTTCAAGTGCAGTCAGTCATTGGTCGAATCTGCTGGTCCTCTTCTGAAGGCTTTAGTGTGCCTAGTAAGTGATGAGAGTCCTGAAGTTCAAGCCCAGTGCAATAAAGTTCTGAGACATTTTGCAGATCAGGAAGTAGTGGTGGGCAACAGAGCCTTTGCTGATGTCTTGTCAGAAAGCCTACATTCCTTGGCCACATCTCTTCCCCGCCTAATGAACTCCCAAGATGATCAGGGCAAAGTCTCTACTCTCTCTTTGTTACTTGGTTATTTGAAACTCTTGGGCCCAAAAGTAAACTTTGTCCTCAACTCTGTGGCCCATCTCCAGCGCCTTTCCAAAGCACTCATCCAAGTTCTAGAACTAGATGTGGCTGACATCAAAATTGTTGAAGAGCGGCGTTTGAACTCTGATGCTATAGCTGCTTCTCCAGACACCTCAGCTATGCGGCCATGGCACCAAATCCAGAGGAGATACTTCCGCTTCTTCACTGATGAGAGGGTTTTCCTGCTCTTGCGGCAGGTTTGTCAGCTTCTCGGTTATTATGGGAACCTTTATTTGCTTGTGGATCACTTCATGGAACTGTACCATGAATCTGTCGTTTACCGGAAGCAAGCTGCCATGATCCTTAATGAACTGGTTACAGGGGCTGCTGGGCTGGAGGTGGAAAACCTTCACGAAAAGCATATGAAAACAAGCCCAGAGGAACTGAGAGAGATTGTGACATCTATACTTCAAGAATACACAAGCCAAGACAACTGGTATTTGGTTACCTGTATAGAAGATGAGGAAATGGAAGAGTACCCAATGATGAAGCAGTCAGGCCTCCAGTACATCACATCTGGAACAGACACCTGCCAAGTTCCTTCTTTCCCAGCCTTCTCAAAGCCAAGCCCCACTATCTGCTCCATGAACAGCAACATCTGGCAGATATGCATCCAGTTGGAGGGGATTGGCCAGTGTGCATATGCTCTAGGAAAAGACTTCCGTTTGCTCCTGATGTCAGTCCTCTATCCAGTGCTAGAGAAGGCTGGTGACCAATCCCTGCTCATTAGTCAGTCAGCTACCAGTGCCATGCTAGACATTTGTCATGCTTGTGGCTACGACTCCCTGCAGCACCTGATCAACCATAATTCAGACTATCTGGTGAATGGGATCTCTTTAAATCTGCGTCATCTTTCTCTGCACCCTCATACCCCAAAGGTCTTGGAAGTCATGCTTCGGAACTCAGATGCTAGCCTGCTTCCTTTGGTGGCAGATGTGATTCAAGATGTCTTGGCCACTCTGGATCAATTTTATGATATGAAAGCTGCTTCCTTTGTTGGTGTTTTGCATGCCCTGCTGGCAGCACTAGGTATATTGAGAGCCCTTGTTAATGCTGATTTGGGGGATAGGACCGAATAGCCTAGTTTGTCTAGCCCTATTTTTTTTTTCTTGTTTATGGAGGACAATTGAATAGTTGTTTCTCCAATCTCCACATTTCATAGTAGGGCTCCACTGGTGGGTTTTTTTGTTGTTGTTTTTTTCTGTTTTTTTTTTTTTTTTTAACACTGATTATCTCTGTCACTTATTGAGCTTCTGCTCTGTGCCAAGGATATAAACCCTGTAGACTAAATGTAAACATTATTCTTATTTTACAAATAAGGAAAAGGGTCAATAAAATCCTACTTGGCTAGGGCCACATAATTTTTTTTTGGGGGGGGGAGAGGTTTTCACTATAGGGCACGTGCGCTCGCCAGCAGAGAGAGACAGAGAGATAGAAAGCGAGAAATCACCCCCCAGAGGGGATGGTCACGCCGCAATCCCTTCTCCTCCATTCTCTCCTCGGGATCTTGGGCACGCACGCACATGTGCCTGGCGTGAGTTTTAAGCCACCGGGTCCGGGACATGAACCGCGGTCGACTACGTGGGAATCCAGCGACATAGCCATTATGCTAACTGCTGGTTCCCAATTTTTCTTTTTTTAATGAGAGAGATTTTGCTATAGGGCAAGTGAACTCACTGGAGAGATACAGAGAGACAGAGAGATAGAAAGGGAGAAGTCACCCCCCACCCAGGGGTGATGGCCACACCACAATCCCTTCTCTTGGGATCTTGGTTATGCATACACATGTGCCCCGTCTGAGTTTTAAGCCACTGGGTTCGGGATTCAAACCACAGTGGACTATGTGGGAGTCCAGCAGTGTAACCAGTACGCCATCTGCTCGTCCCCAAGCCACATAATAAGGGTAAAGTTGGGGTTTATGACAGTTATGTTCCTTCCAATATACCAAACGGTTTCTGATGATATTTAGAGTTAGCAGTATCTTTGCTAGGAGACCAGGAATAACATGAATTATTCAGTCCACAGATAGTAGACCAATATTGTCTCATAGAACTTTCTGTAATGATAGAAGTAGCCTGCACCTCCTCTGTCCAATATGTCCATTAACCATGTGTGACTAATGCAGAGGAAGGGCTGAATTTTACATTTTACTTCATTTTAATAGCTAGTGGCCATTTTGGACAGAGCAGGTCTAGAAACGTCCTTATACCATACCCTGTAAATTGTGTGAGTTGCCTTAAGTTTCTCTCCTTTCCTTTTCTCTTGGGTGTCTGTTGAAGATGTTAGCCACCACTAGATTGGCAAGATTTTGGACCTTATATAAGAAGAATCCCTCAACTGGATCGTCTTTGAATGAAAAAATAATGAGCTGTGTACCTGGGCCCCTTTTATTGAGAGAATATATCTTCAGATATGCATGTCTTCAGAGCTAATAGCCTCTGAGACAGGTAGAAAAGTCGCTGGCCTCATTTTGTCCATTGAAAAAGCTGATACTATGTGAAAAACTTTCTCATGGAAGTGACTGGAGCAGGGACAGTCTTCTGCCCTGTAGCTGACATTGTTTACAATGTTCATTTGTTCATCCATTCCTTCATTCATTCATGAACACTTTGCAGCATAAATGTTCTTTCATTCATTTATTAAATAAGTCAGCCATGTGTCAGCATACACATGCATATATATATATACAGGACAGCATACACATATACAGCAGTGAATAATAATAAACTTGTGGAGCTTTCCTTTTACAAGAGAGATGATAAGTTTGTAAATAATCGTTGTAAAAGCTCACTGCAGATTCTAATAAGCACACTGAAGGAAATAAACACCTTGATGCAAGAGAGTGTTGGGGAGAGACTGCCTTAAGTTGAGTCATCAGGGAGGGCGTCTGAGAGGGAGCAGCTCAAGCTGAGACCTGATGGATGAGAAGGGTTCATCAGTACACATGGGGCTGTCACATTGTTTTTATGATTTCTAAGAATATTCAGGCAAAGAGGATAGAAGGTGAAAAGACTTAGAATGAAGAGTTGGGATCTTTGCAAAGTGGACAAAAAGGACATTTTAGAAAGAGTGGTTCAAAATAGAATTGAGAAGAAGGGCAAGGACAAATCCTGGAGGGCCTTACAGGCCAAGGGAAGACGTTTAGATGCTATTTTGCCTTCCCTGGAAGCCTATGGAGTGTGCGAGACCCTGGGAGGCAGCCATGAACAAGACCCACAGGGGCCTAAGCTCCTCCTTAGACTGTTCCAACATTGCAGACTAGGACTGGTTTCCAATGTCATGTGTACTCCACCACTTTAGGGAGCTGTACTACTTCTAAAAAATACATGTTGGGGCCAGCAGGTGTTAAGGTGGTTAAGGTGCTAGACTCCCACATAGTTGACTGTGGTTCAAGTCCCAGATACAGCAGCTTGAAACTCATGCACAGCACCTATGTGTATACGCCTAAAATCCTGAGAGGAGAATGGAGGAGAAGGGACTGTGGTGTGGCCATGCCCCCTGGGGGGGGTGGGGGTGATTCCTTGCTTTCTGTCTCTCAGGCAAGCACATACACCCTATAGCAAAAATCTCTCTTAAAACAAAAAATGTTAAGAAAAAGCCTATGAATGGGACCAGCAGTTGGCATAGTGGCTATGCCACTGGACTCTCATGTAGTCAACCACAGTTTGCGTCCTGGACCCAGTGGCCTAAACTCACACTGGGCGCATGTGTGTGCATGCCCAAGATCCCAAGAGGAGAATGGAGGAGAAGAGACTGCAGTGTGGCCATCCCCCCAGGGGTGATTTTGAAGCAGGCTGGACCCCATCTTGGAGGAACGAGTCCATCTTGGAGAAGCACACTGTCTCTGTTTCTCTGTCTTCCTAGCGAACTTGGAGGAACGAGTCCATCTTGGAGAAGCACGCTGTCTCTCTGTTTCTCTGTCTTCCTAGCGAACGCACATACCCTATAGCAAAAACCTTTCAAAAGAAAGGAAAAGCAAAGAAATCCAAGAAATATATTCTCTTCAGAGATAACGCAATCTGGGTCCTGCAAATTAAATTGCCTTAGATTGCAGGTGTCTTTGGTCATTTCTGAAGGAAGTTAAGAAATCTTATATGCTTTTTTTCTTTTTAATTGAAGTGAGGTTGGGTTGCCATTGCAGAAAACAAAATGATGGTTAAAATTGACCCTAGGGTATCCTAGGAAAATTGGGAGTAGCTTTTCTGCTTTTGAAATAACACAGAATAGACTTGCTTGTTAAATAGTAAGTGGTACCAAGGTGGAATTGGTAGTTGCCAATCAAAGTAGCATTTTATGCTGGCGTTTCTGTTTGATATCAAATTGTCTAATTGATAGCCACTCTTCTGAGATGGGAGTGGAGTGTGGTCTTAGAGAATTTCTGGAAAGGTCTTAAAAATAACCCAGTACAGGTTTTAGCAAATTGAGTTAGCATATAGTGTTTCACATGTATTGACTAAAAAGCAGTGGGTACCACAGTGAAGCTAGAATATCAGTTAAGTTACTGCTTAGTACTACGCTTGCCTGATTATTCATAACAAGGAAAAAAAAAAAAAGAGTAGCTTTGAAAATAAAGTAGTCATGTCACATACTAATTTGGAGATCGTGCCACTTCCATACATGTAGAAATGCCTCGGTTTTTTTTACGGCTACCTCGAATTCTGTTGTATGGTGACAACTTAGTTTATTTAACCAATTCTTTCTTGGTGGATGTTTTGGTTGTTTCTGATATCTTGCCTCCACAAAATATGCTGCAGTGGGGCCAGTTGGTGGCTTGTGGGTTGAGGCGTGGGATCCCACATGGCCAACTCTGCAGGTTCAAGCCCTGGATCTGGTGATCTAGGGAACACGCCTGGCACGTGTGTGCCCAGGATCTCCAGAGAAGGGTGGAGGAGAAGGGATTTTGAAGTGGCCATCTCCCTTGGAGATGATTTCTCACTTTCTGTCTCTATCTCTCTGGTGAGCACATGCACTTTGTGGCAAAATAACTAAAAAAATAAATAAATAAAAGAAAGGAAAAACCACTGCAGTGAATATCTTTGTAGGTTATTTGGTACATGCCTAAAAGAAATGCTAGTTTAAAGGGTATTACATTTAAATTTTTGATAGAGAGTATCAAATTGCTTCCTAAGAGGTTGTACCAATTTAAACTCCTATTACCAATGTAAGAGAGTGCCAATTTTGCCACGCCCTCACCCACACTGTATATTAGCAAGCCTTTGATCTTTTCTAATCCAATAGGAGAAAAATAGCACCTTATTATCATTTTAATTTGCATTAAGAGTGAGGTTGAGCTCCTTTTCATATGTTTAAAAGCCATTTGTGAGCAAAGACATTTTAATGTCTGGCACCAGACTTGAATCTAGAAATAATCTTTGCTGCTTGTCTACTCTTAGCAGTGTAATCGCTGAGTCTGAGCTAGCTTTAACTGTTTGGGAACCAGTCCCTTAGGGTACAGTAAGAGCCTGACTCATATGTGGAAATGGGGCATTGAAGAAATGTCATAATTGATCCCCACATATAGGAACCTCCTCCTACTGGTTTGAAGGTACTCACCTCAAGCCTTCCTCTCTGTACTGGACCACAGCAGCAGTTTTAGGCTGTGGGGTTTTATTGTTTCAGTCTTAAGGAATTGAGCGCCTTTTCTTTTTAAGTCTATGGGAGGACCTTGATATGCAAAAATGGTTGAAGTTAGAGCTGCCCTGGTTGAAGGAAGGGATGGAGACCTTGGAACCCACCCTTCCCCAGCCTGCTATCTCGGTGTCCTCCCAGTGGTGATCCCCAAGACATTTCTGTAGAGTCCTAAGGCTCACAATTAGAAAACCACTGAACTCAGTGATGTTTAAGGTTTATTCTGTAGTGACCTATTAGATGTACTGGAGTATCACTGAAGAACAGATAGCTCTGAGGAGGAAATAACCAGTCTTCTAAAGCAATTTATGTCAGAAATACAATGCGACTATCCATTCTTAGAGTCCTGTAGAGCATAATTTCTGCTAATGAGTAGTATATCCTGGGCCGTATGTGTACTCCAGACTTGCATATTTTTTCATTCAGCATTTATTCTGAGCACCCACCCTAGGCTGGGCATATGACATTTTCAGTGGTGTCTAATGGAGCACAGAGTCTTAATGGGAGATTCAGATACTAAATAGTACACAGAAAATAAACATATAATTACAAATTGCTATGAGTTGGTAAGAAAGGACGGAACATGGTACTAGATAAGACATGTAAGTGACCTGAATTAGACTGGAAGTAAAGGGCTAGCTTTACTAAGTCCATTTTCTGCTTATACTAGGATGTGAGAAGTGCCTTGGAATCTTTCAGATGTTGAGTAGAGGGAGAGTGTTCCAGACAATGAGAATGACATATGCAAAAGTCTTAAGACAGGAAAATGCTTGGCACATTGAAGGAACTAAAAGATGGTCAGTTAATGAGCAGCTGGAAATGGTAAAAGATGAGGTTGAAGAGACAGGTAAGGACTAGGTTAGTGGGAACAGCAGTTAGTGTAATGACTATGTCGCTGGACTCCCATGTAGTTGACTGCAGTTCAAGTCCTGGCCCCGGTGGCTTAAACACACACCATGCGTGTGTGTGTGTGTGTGTGTGTGTGTGTGTGCGCGCGCGCGCGCCCAAGATCCCGAGAGGAGAAAGGAGGAGAAGGGATTGCAGCGTGTCCATCCCCCCTGGGGGGTAATTTTTTCTCGTTTACTGTCTCTGTCTCTGTCTCTCTGGCGAGCACACGTGCCCTATAGCAAAAAAACCTGGGGGGGGGGATTAAAAGGACTAGTTTAGTCAGAGACAGGTGAAGGCAGGGACAGGACATGGCAAAGAACTTATTTGCTTATCTGCTCACAAAGTACTACTGCCTGTTGTTAATGACAAAGGTGATCATTATAATGCTTTATTTACAGCCCAGTGGTTCCCAGACACAGGCACTCTTGAATTCCAAGAGCCAAGTTTAGGGAAGGAGGGAAGTCATTTGCGCCAAAGACAAACAACGCTTGGCGGTAACACCACAGCTGAAGATATTGAACAATTTTTGCAGAACTACCTCAAAGAAAAGGATATAGCAGATGGAAATGTCTCAGATTCTGATAATGAAGAAGGTAACTATTCACTTTGGCATGGCTGGGTTTTTTTTTTTTTTTCTTTTGAAAACAAGTTATTGTAAAGGCATTGAAAAATCATTACAGAAAATTTGAAAGAAAAGTCACTCATGGGCTGGCAGGTGACGTGGTCGTTAAAGGCACTGGATTCCCACATGGCCGGCCACGGTTTGAGTCCCGGACGTGGAGGCTTACTTTCTCACTTTCCCTTTCTCTTTCTCTCTCTGGTCAAGTTGAAAAATAATAGCAAATGGAATTAAATAAATAAATATTTTTTTCAAAAGAAAGAAAAGTCACTCACACTCTCACTATGCTAACATAGCCATTCTTATTTTTTGTATTATTCTTTTTCCATTCTTTTTTGTTACAAATCTATTTTTACATGGTTTCTGCCATAGCTTAAATGTGTTATGCCCTTGTTGTGCTTAGTTATAAGCAACTCCATGTTGCTATACAATTAATGTTCTAATAGCTGCTACTAAGTGTCCATTCCCCTGTGGTTAGTTTAGGTTGCTTCTGGATCTCATTCCTATAAACAGTGCTGCCATGGATGATTCTGTGCACACGGCCTTTTCTTTCTTTTTGCATATTTCCTTATGAATTCCCAGAAGTGGGATTTCTGGGTTAAGGATATGAACATTATTTAATGTTTGCCAAATTGCCTTCCAGAAAGGTTGTATCAGTTTACACTCCCCTTCACTAGTGCAGGATTACTACTGGTTTCACCACAACATTGCCAACCTTGGCCTTTTCCAGTTTTACTTCTTCTTAAATTAATAGATGAAAAATGGTTCTTGCGGGGAACCAGCAGTTAGCGTAATGGCTATGTCGCTGGACTCCCACGTAGTCGACCGCGGTTCGTGTCCCAGACCCGGTGGCTTAAAAAACTCACGCCAGGCGCGTGTGCGTGCGTGCCCAAGATCCCGAGAGGAGAATGGAGGAGAAGGGATTGCGGCGTGACCATCCCCCCTGGGGGGTGATTTCTCGCTTTCTGTCTCTATGTCTCTCTCTGTCTGTCTGGTGAGCGCACGCGCCCTACAGTGAAAATCTCTCCAAAAAAAAAAAAAATGGTTCTTGCGGATTTTTTACCTTGCATCTCTTTGATTACTGACAAAGTCTTTCTGTATCCTTCTTTCCTAAGAATACTTTTCTTATGTTCATTGTCTATTCGCATGCTTTATCCACTTATTTATTGGTGGGAGGAGATTTCAGTGTTTTCCTTACCAATTTATATGATAAAGGAGAAGACAGTTCCGACTAGTTGCGGCTCTGGTCTCTTGTTTTATTCACAAACTCAATCTGGAGCTTTGGGTCACAGAAGGATTAATAAATTATTAGAGTCTCCTCTGCAAATATAAAATGCCAAGTCATAATGAGCCTGGTGGTCTCAGAACTATCCTAAATTGAACTGAGTCCCAAATTAGTTAGGTTAGATTCGAGCAGATTTCTTCTCTTTTTTGTTTCTTTCCTTTTTTGCGATCACTACTCTGAGACTCTGGTGGATTTGAAGCTAATAGTTCCAGGATAACAGGAAATAGTACTTCAATGCAACTAACTACAACAAATCCCTCCTAAATAGCAGAGAAGTATCACAGGACCCAAATAATGATTTATGCAGAGTTGAGTCATTGCTCTCCCCAAGGACAGAGTTTTCTGATCAGAAATTTATCAGGCTTTGTCATGGGTTTGTTTTTTGAGCACCCCATCCTTCTGAAATGCAGCCTCACCAAAACCTAGAAACACTGAAGAAGGGGAAGCATTCTGATCCTTCATAATCCGGATTAGCCATTCTTGTTTAAAATTCGAACATTGTCAGTGAATCCATTCTTTCACGATTAGGATCTTCTGGTTCTGGTTGATGCTCTCTAGGAGCAGACTGAATGAATCAAACCCTCCTTCCGATAACAGAAAAATCCACATCCCTCATATAACATTCTGCAGTAGGTGAATTCTGAACAACAACTCCTCTGGGAGGAAAAGCCCAGCCCTATCATTCTTGTAATTATCACTCTTCAGGTACATACCACGTACTTGACATGGTAAAGAATATCTAGCTTGATATTAGTTTGACTTGAGGTTTTTGTTTTAAACATATAAAAGCATCTTATATATCTGAGGTTTCTTTCTCTAAGAAATTTAAGCATTCTACAAATGCACTTTCATTTATTTTTTCAGCATCTTTTAGAGACAGATGCAGGCCTCTACTGTAAGATTCTGCTTTTCTAGCAGAGAAAACCGAAATGGGAAAAGTTAAGGGAGCAATGTTCAGCTCCGTGGACATGAGCACAGCTGGTAATGGGGGCTTGGGGGCAGGGCTGGAGACTGAAAGTAGAGAGAGGGGAAAAAAAAATGTCAGGGTAGGGATTTGAGCCTGGATTTCCTGCAACTCTCAAACCTTTCTGGTGTTTTAATTTACCGACTTATTTCTGTCTCATATAACATTACTCTGCAGAGGCAGTGAGAGAGTGGTAATAGCTTGTGACATTCATCTCATTTAACACTCTGAACAAGCATGTAAGGTATATATGTTTTTTTACCAGGTAAGGTGGTGTAGGATTAGAGAATTTGCTAATAGTTTGTGGAGGCAAAACCATCCTCTGCTGACCAAACCCTGTGTCATGTGTATTGCACCTAGATGCCTGGTATTATCTCTTAGACAAAGATAAGTAAGGTTTATCTTTATACTGGCCATCAAAAGATTAAAAGTCTGGTGAAGATAGACATGTGCCCACTTTGGTCAAAAGATGAACCAGAAGGAAAGGGAAAAGATTGGAGGGCAGAGCAAAGGCCAGCGAGGTGACTGCCTAGCCTCAAGACTCCAATTAGAACCGTGTCTTCTTATGTTTTGATTTTAATTGGAAATTTAGGAAAAACCCAGGTGTGAGGGGAAATTTAAATCATTATTCCACTGTTAATTTTTTTTGTATTTTCTCCCATACAAAAATTTATACAATAGCACTCATGCCGTGTAATAACACAATGTTATTTCATAAACATTTTCCCTTGTCATTAATACCCTTGCTAAACACAAATTCTAGGAACTTCGTAACAAGCTATCGTGAGGATACACCATGGTTTATATAACCATTCCATCTTGAGTATACATGGAGGGTGTCTTAGTCCATTTCTGCTGCTGTAACAAAATACTTGAGATGACAGTTTATAAGTTGTAGAAACTTATTTCTCACAGTTCTGGAGGCTGGGAAGTCAAGATCAAGGGTGAGGGCTGCTCTCTGGTTCCAAGATGGTGCCTTGATTGCCACACCCTCTGGACGGAAGGAATGCTGTGCCCTGCTTAGGCTAAAGGTGGAAGGGCAAGGAAGCTAAACTTGTGTCAAGCCTTTTATAAAGGCTTTAATTGCATTTATGAAGAGTGGAACCCTCAGGACTTAACTCACCTCTTGAATGCCCCACCTCTTAATACTATCACATTAGTCACTAAGTTTCAACACCTGAATTTTGGAGGTGGCACATTCAAACCGTAGCAAAGGGTTTTCCTAGCTTTTAATCTGTTCCAGTTAAAGTTGTAAATGTCTTGTTCCTACTTTCAGATGGTTTCCCTAGGATCTTCCTTGATACTTTTCCTGGGTCTGAGGCTGGGGATCAAGCTTGATCGGGGGCATCTCTCATAAAACAATATCCCCAGGTATGTTCTTTTTCCAGAAGAGCAGTCAGTCCCTCCTAAGGTGGATCAGAATGACACCTGCCCAGATGTGGAGCCACCACTCCCAGTGCAGATCCAAATAGCCATGGACGTGATGGAACGCTGCATCCACTTGTTGTCCCATAAAAGTCTGAAAATCCGCCTGCAGGTCAGTGCGCATCCCCTTGTCTGCGTCCACAGGGCAGCATGGCTGAGGTGCAGTCTCGTGGCTGTAGCTGCTTGGTTAAGTGTAATCTCCAGATCCATGTGTGGTGGCCAAGAGAAGGTATCAAGAGGGATGTATCTGTGGGGTGAAAGTTTTACCTCATTGTGTGCCCACTGAGATGCCAACAGGGAGCTAGCTTAGTCTGCTACAGCAAAAACCACAGTTTCAGGGATTCATAGAATCACTAAAGGTATAAAAATCATATGCTTTGGAAAAGCTATCAGTTTATGAGCTGTCTTGACATAGAATATGCAGATTTTAGTTCTTTAAAGTGGTCATTCTTTCAAGCCCAACACTAGCCCTTATCTCTGTTTCTGTTTCCTTTGCATCCTAGGAAAAACCTCAGTGCTTTTAATATTATATCCTGGGAACCAGCAGTTAGCGTAATGGCTATGTCGCTGGACTCCCACGTAGTCGACCGCGGTTCGTGTCCCAGACCCGGTGGCTTAAAACTCACGCCGGGCACGTGTGCGTGCGTGCCCAAGATCCCGAGAGGAGAATAGAGGAGAAGGGATTGCGGCGTGACCATCCCCCCTGGGGGGTGATTTCTCGCTTTCTGTCTCTATGTCTCTCTGTCCGTCTGGCGAGCGCATGCGCCCTACAGTGAAAATCTCTCTTAAAAAAAAAAAAAATTATATCCTTATTTGCTGTCTGCTTCTCAAACAGCACTCACATTGATGAGTACTTAACATATACAGTGTACATATACATACATACACATTCCAATAACAAAACAATGGGGTGGAGTGGTAGTGGGAGCGAGGGCTTTCAGAATCACCCAGGAAATCTTGTACACAAAGGAAACAACACTCTTCCACTCCCACAAGCAGCAATGAGAAATGCTGCTCTCGTGGCTGACTGATGAAGCACACTGCCATGCTCAGGTGGGCTAGGAACCCCTGATCCACTGGTTGTCTCAAATCTCTGGGTCTATGTTTTATGGCCTTTGTTTAGTATTTCTGAGACACCTCTTAGCAGTCATCCATGTTCCTTCAGTAAGAACTTTGTTTTTAGAGAATTTTGCTATAGGGCACATGTGCTCGCTCACCAGAGAGAGAGAGAGACAGAAAGTGAGAAATCTCCCCCCAGTGGGGATGGCCATGATGCAGTCCCTTCTCCTCTATTATCCTCTCAGGATTTGGGACACACATGCACAAACGCCTGGTGTGAGTTTTGAGCCACCAGGAACTCGAACCGCATTGGACCACTTGGGAGTCCAGTGCCTTTAAGTGTTTAACATCACCTCCTGTCCCCCAGCAAGCACTTTTTTTAAAAGATTTATTTTATTTAACTTTATGTATTTATTCATTTACTTATTTAATTTGACCAGAGAGGGACAGAGTGGCAGGGGGGGAGAAAGCAAGCCGCCAGGTCTGGGATTTGAACCATGGTCTGCCAATGTGAGAGTCCATAGTCCCTAACTACCACACCACCTGCTAGCACCAGCATGCACTTTTTAAGTACCTATTTCATGCAAGGCTTTAATGTGGGTACCTGGTTGATATATTCAACAAATTCTAATCTACCTTTCAAGACCTCCCCTCCTTTTTCTTTTAATTATTTTATTTAACTTTATTTATTCATTTATTTATTTATTTCAATTTGACCAGAGAGGGATAGAGCGAGAGAGAGAGAAAGGGAGAGAAAAAGCAAGCCGCCAGGTCCGGGACTTGAACTGCAGTCGGCCATGTGGGAGTCTAGCACCAAGCCACCTGCTGGCCCCAAGACCTTCCCTTTTATTGAGGCTTTGTAACGGCTGTATACACACCATAGCTATCAAGAGTACCAGTGTTGGGACCAGCAGGTGGTGTGGTGGTTAAGGTGCTGGACACTCCCACATGGCCGACCAGGGTTCGAGTCCTGAATCTGGTGGCTTGCTTTCTCACTTCCTCTTTCTCTCATTCTCACCTTCTGTCTCTCTCTGGTCAAACTAAAATAAATAAATAAATAAATAAATGAATAAAATAAAATAAATAATTATTTAAAAAAAAAAAAAAGAGTACCAGTCATACAGTCAGGTCTACATACCTAAATTCACGTCCCAGCTCTGCCCGCTGCTAGCCATGTGACCTGGAGGTCAGCATCTTTGTCCATAAAATGGAGATGACGGTATCTGCCTCTTTGGGTTGGTTTTAAATCTAAAACAGTTAGCATGAGATGTGGCATGTATACTCCTTCATTCATTCACTAAATGCTTATTGAGGACCACAACAAGTCAGGCAGGCAGAGGGTGTGTAGAAGGGAATGGTGCCAACGCAACCTGTCTTCATATGGACATGTGTTGTCTGCTGCGGGGAGTGAGGCAATACGTGAACTCACACATATGCATTGAGGAAATGCTGTCAAGGTAATAAACGGGGGTCTATGATTAAAAAAAAAAAATCATCCACGAGGCAGGTGTGTATTGCAAACCTCTTTTGTGCTAAACCTTTTGAATGAGCAGACCGTACATTCTGATTTAGACCAGGTTGATGGGGAAGACCTCTCTGAGGTGCTCACATTTCTGAAGTTTGAGAAGGAGCCAGCATGCAAAGAGACACAGGCAGGGAGAACATCCCAGGCAGAAGGGAAGTGTGTGCATCTGTGAATCAAATATATTGTGACTTGTCCAGTTGGTGACAGAACTCAAACTCACAGCCAGTCAGTGATCCCAAAGTCACTTCCACAGCACTTCTGAGCTTTCTTTTATCCACTTGCCTAAGTATGGATCCCTGCAGGGCAGGGCCTCTTCTGTTCTTTGTTTCTATCCCAGTCCCAGTGTAGACCAGCATGTACTAAGCACAGTAAGGGTTTGCTGCTGCGTGGTGTCAGACTTCACGCAGTCTTTCTGCCTCTGACACAACCTCTACCTCCTCTTGCCCACTCTGCTCTAGGAAGACTGGCCTGTCTGTACAGGAGGGCAACCAGCACTGGTCGTACTGACTCCTACTACGACACTGACATGGGCCTTCTGTTTTCAGTGAGCTTTGAGATGTAAGAGATCAGGAAACATATTCCCAAGGAAGGTAGAAAACCAGTTTCCATCAAGGCTAGCCCAAAGCTTTCTTGTGAGATTAGCCTGTAGCTCAGCTGCCTGCTGGGATCTCTCAGCACTAAAAGACCTGGAATCTTGCCCACCCTGTCCACTTGCTCACCCTCCATTGCACCCCTCTTGTTCGCTGGCACCTGCCTCTCTTCAGTTGCTACACCTGAATCTAAGCAGCTCTTAATCTCTCTTCCCTTCCCCGATACCAGCCTCTCCAAAGCAGAGTGCAAATGCTCTCACTTCTCTGCCTCTGCCGCCATCACGTGGCCATATCACTTTGCTCCTCTCATGTGGACATGTGTTGTGGCCTCCCAAAGTACCTCCCCATGTCTCTCTCCCCTCTCAAGTCTCCCTCCACTCAACAGCCAGAGTAACCTTTTTTAAATGATGAATTATATCGTGTCACTTTCCTGCTTAAAACACTTCAGTGACTCCCCATGGCACTTCGTACAAAATAAAATATTCTTTTTTTTTTTTTCAATTTTATTCCACAAGCAAGAGAAACAGAGAGAAGAGCACCCCTAAAAGAGTCTTGATTCTGCAATCTAGCCCCAGATCATGGGCATATGTGTGGATGGGGGGAGGGCATGAAAATGGAACCTTCCCGGGCCCATGAACCTGGAAACTTCCCTTCTTTCAACCTCACAGAACTTCATGTTTTATCACTGTGCTACCATCTGACCCTGCACATGCATACAAATCCATACCATGACCCCTTCGTGATCCAGCCCCATCTTACCTGCCCTCCGCAGCATTCCACATTCCTGTTTCCATTTCCTAAGCACCATAAGCTTTGTCTCCCATCTGGATCTCCCTTGTCACAGTTTCCAGTTAAAGGAGTACTCTCTCCATCGTCACAGGACTAACTCCTACTCACCGTTTATGTCTTGTTTGCAGAGAACACAGTCTGCAGTTTCGATCCTTCCCTTGATTTCTTTGCATTTCACCTTTACCTTCCTTCCTGTCACAGTTGGTAGTCATCTAGTTATTTGGGTGTTACCTAATTAAGGCCCGGAAACTTGTGTATTTTGTTCCTGTGTATCCCACCAGTACCTAACCAGTGTCTGACATGTAATTGACCCTCAATAAACAGTTATCCAATTAATGTGTCTCTAAGCTTTATTTCTTTTCAATGATGACTTAATCCCACGTATTTTGATTCCAAGCCTTTACTGTCTACTGAAATCCTTCTTCTTTTCTGCCAGGTGCTGGATGTGCTGGATTTGTGTGTGATTGTTCTGCAGTCCCACAAGAACCAGCTCCTTCCCTTGGCTCATCGGGCTTGGCCCCCGCTTGTGCAGCGACTCACTAATGATGACCCCCTGGCAGTTCTCAGAGCCTTCAAGGTACTGTGCTGACACCCTCCCACTGTTTGTCATAACGGTGAATGTGATAAGCACAAAGCTCACAGGGTCCTTCAGATCAGTTCTTTTTATCTGATTGCAATGTGACATACCATGAAGAAACTAGAAAAATAGGAAAAGCACAGAGAAGAAAATAAAAGTCATTTTCCTTTGAATGTAAAGCAAAGTGAACTAGTAGATGAAAAGGACCAGTGGTTTTTACTGGGCATTTTTCATGGGTCAGGCAATGAGCTTGGCACTTCCCCACATGTGAACCCATCTCCACAACAATCTCACAAGGAAGGGGTATTACCCCCATTTTCGACAGAAGAGGAAACAAGTTTAGAAAAGTTAAGGAATTTTCTCAAAATCACACAGCTAGTAAGTAGAACCCAAACCTTTGAATTCATACTCATGTTTTGTTTTGTTTTTTAAATGTAATATATTTATTTTAATTGCCAAAGGTTACATGCACACACCAGAGAGAGAGAGAGCACCCCAATGGTGTATGGTCATGCTGCAATCCTTTTTCTCTCCATTTCTTCTTCCCAGCAGGATTTGGGGAACATGTACATGTGCCCAGCATATTTCTCAAGCCCCCACGGCCAGGGTTTATGATCAGGCATGTGGGAACCAGCTCCTTATGCGTAACGCTTAACCCCTCTGCTACAGGGCCAGCCCCATGCCCGTGTTCTTTGCACTGTTCAAGAGTCAAGGTGAACGGGCCTAGGTTCTAGCCAAGCAATTTGGGCAAAGCCCATGATACCTATTTCCAGGTTGGCCTTATGACTGCCTATCCCATTCTTTCTCACAGTATTGTCACAGATAAAATGGGACTATTTGGTGAAGTGCTCTAAACAGTGTGAGTGTGTGTTTGTGTGTGTGTGTGTGTGTATTATTCTCCCTTAGTTGGCTTATATTAACACATGTATTTTAGCTTTTTTATTTATATCCTTCCTTGTTCTAAAAATCACTTAAGGCAACCTACAAAGATACATTTACCATGGCAAGCTAACATAAATTAGAAGTAGATGAACAAGATGAGGCAAAGAAAAAAGATGTGTAGGGACATAAAATGAATCTGGGAATGTAACCAATATACTTGGCAGAAGTAGTTTGGTTTTCACTAAGATTCTTCAGCATTTACTGGACCGAGTTAAAACATATAAAATTGTTAATATTTTTCCAAAGTAAAATGATATGTGTATATGTTTTTGTGCATGTAGGTAGAGAGGAAGGGAAGAGGAATAGAGAGGGAGAGATGTATTGCTAAATCTTATTCAGATGTGCTGTTTTTCTTTATGAAAATTAATAGGTTATCTGAAATGACAGCTAGCACAGAAAAATGAAAAATGTAAAGATATGTGAGCCATAATGAAGGCTGCTTTTTCTATTTGAAGACAAGTCGATGTCACCTGAGCTCTGTAAAATCTTGTGCAGCCCAGCTGAGGGACCAGAAATGAGTGCCTTACTCTGCAAAGTCGGCAAACACTCTATGTGCTGGTTATGCCTTGCTTACCAATTTTTAAAGGAATTCCTATTATCCTGTATACTCAGTCTTGTGCAGCAGGGCAAAACGTTTCAATATGTTCTGCTAGAGAAAACTTAAAACGAGACATGCAAAGAAATCTGCCTGTCTTGAAAGATAGAATGAGGGTGATGTACATGAGAGATTGTGCAGTTGAACAGAAGGAACACTGAATTGGCTTTAACCACGGGGACCCTGCCTTGGCTCAGCCCAGGAACCCTGGCGCAGTCACTGCCCTCCTGGTATCTGCATGGGGTAGCAGCTGGGTCTTCGCATTCGTGTTTGTTCAGCTAGCTAGAGTTAAAAGCACAAGTCTTTTCTCAAGGGATGTTAGAAAGATTCAAGAGATGATCTATGTGAACTGCTTTAAGCTCTTCTGTTTTGTTTTTTTTTTTTTTAAACAGAAAAAAGGGAAGAAAACCAAGATATTAATCATATTATTCACCCAACCCAAGATTCCTTTGAATTATTCTCCGTGTAATCTGTATTTATGGATAGAAGCAGCCATGCCTTAGGAGCAGAGACCTCTGAATTCATAACTGTCAAAATCACAAACCATAGGCAAGAAATTAACAGCAGTAATTCTATTTTTTTTTTTCCCAAGCAGAGACCTAGATGAAATTGAATTACCAAGCATTCTTCAGCTTTCTTAGGCCTTGATGCTGTTCAATCACCAGATCGGGGGCTATTTCTGCAGGTCTTACGGACCCTGGGAGGCAAGTGTGGTGATTTTCTACGGAGCCGGTTCTGCAAAGATGTCCTGCCCAAACTGGCTGGTTCCTTAGTTACCCAGGCTCCCATCAGCGCCAGAGCTGGACCAGTTTACTCACACACGCTGGCCTTCAAGTTGCAGCTGGCTGTCTTGCAGGGCCTAGGCCCTCTCTGTGAGAGACTGGACTTAGGTAGGTTCCTGCCTCTCTCATGTGGACCCAAACTCTACGTTCTATCTCACTTCAGCCATTGCACTTGGCTCTCCTCTGCTTAGATGCCCTCCTTACCCGCCTCATGTGCATGCGCTTGAGTCTTACTTTGGCCTCACTCTTCCATTGGTCTTGACATGTACTTTGGCTTGCGGGATGGAGTGAAGAGCCCAGGGCATCTTGCTTACCTGTTCTAGTTTTCCTAGGTAGCATTTGGTTACTGCTTGTCCTGAATGAAGTCTGAGGGCCAGTGCTTATTTTGTTTTTCCTCTCTGCAGGTGAGGGTGACCTGAATAAAGTGGCTGATGCCTGCTTGATTTACCTCAGCGCCAAACAGCCCGTGAAATTACAAGAGGCTGCCAGGAGGTACGTCTGCTTGATCACCCGCATCTCTGTACGTTTAATCTAAATTACAGATGATTTGCTAATGGTGAGCAGAGTTGAGGCACCCCTACTCCCTTTTCTCTTCTCTCCCTTCTTGCCAGGTTATGATGATTTCTTTAACTGTGCCAACTCTAGAGGTGGTATTTTTACTAGACACATTTCTCTTTGCAAGTAACCTTTTCCTCTGCTGCAGTGTCAGCAACAATTGCAGAGGGGCCAAAAGCAGAAAGATGGTATGCTGAAGGGGACTCAGCCCTCTCCTAGTCAGAGGGTGATTGGCTTCTAGGCCCTGTTCCTGGCAACCAGGTCACCCTTACTCGTCTGTATGCCTCCGCTCCCGCAACAGCCAAGTGGAAGCACAAGGTTACTGACCTGGCACACCTTGACTCCATAGAGGTCTTAGCTGGGTGTTGGTGCCAAAAACCCTCACACATTGTATGAAAACTGGGTGTATGTGCAGGCAAGCACATGTGTACCTGTTTCTAGACAGAGTCCGCTCCAATCGTAAGATTCCAATAGAAGTCTTGACCCAAAATCATGGACTTCTGGCTTAAAGGGCCTTTTCTGATTCTGAAATTATGTGATTCCAATTTCTAAAAGTTTTGATCATGCTTCCTGGTGAATAGCAGTACTCTCTCTAACAGAAAAAAATCTATGTCTGGTGTCTTGAGTACTAAGGAACCAGAGTCCTCGTAAGCTGAAACTCTGAGCACAGCGTTACTCCCTACTCTTGCACCCCAAATGGCCCTCTTGTCCTAGCTCTCTTTCCAACTGGAAGGGAACAGCCTGCACCTGGAACTGCCAGCCCCTCCTGGGGCAAAGGCTGGCCTGTGTTTGTCCTCACACTGTGTGCTACCCTGAGCCCTGCAGCTCCTCGTCCAGCCCAAACGTGTCCTAGAGCAGAGCCCCTCCTCCTTCCCAGGCTTCTGGAGACACGTCCCTGATCATCCTTGGTGGGGCAGGAGTTAGGAGTCAACTCATTCCCTCAGGGACTGAAGAGGCTGCTCCGACTGTGAAATGAGCAGAGCCGACTTGCTCCCTTGTAAACCTTGCACTCCGTGGGAGTGATGGGAATATCTTTTTGAATTGATTTATTGTCCTTTGCAATTTTTTGCTCTTGATTTCCCCAGTTCCCTTTTTTCTTTCTGTCCCTTTCCCGTCACATCCCTTAGACCCAGAATCAGTCATGGTTTCTGGAACACTAGGTGCATCCCAAAGAGCTTCGTGCCCCTCAGCATTCTCATTCCTAAAAGAACCAACCTAGGGGAAAATGAGTCCTCCCTGGGCGGTGCCCCTGGAGCTGATTGTGCTGTGATTTAATGTGCAACTCGAGAGTATACTGAATTTATCTTGAAGTAAATTCTTTTGGGTGCCTCTTACAACCGAAATGTACAAAGGGCTGATTTGCACACTCCCTGTCCCATTCTACTTTTTCTACACCCACCCACCCCCTTCCATCTCGGATTTAGAGCCATCAAACAAGCCCACATTCGCAATTCATTATCTTTTCATTTCTAATTCTCTTTCTTGCTGCTGAAAGCAATTAAACACGGAATTGGGCCTGGCTGAATCTTGAGTTGGTATTCAGGGTGTCAGGAGGTAGAAAACGCAGCCAGGCCACTTGGTGCAGCTCGCCTTTGTTTGCTCCACTGCATTCCAGTTGGGGTTGAGTCAAATGACCTCCTTCCTGACAGGCCAGAGGAGAGGGAGGGCAGGACTGATTGCTTCACATGCACATCATCTGCAAACTTATTTTGAAGTCAGGGGAAAAAAAAAAAATCAGTGCTGTCCTTGATCAAGAACTGATCTGGCATCTTGATTCAGAAATTAATAAGCTTTTTAAATGGGAGAAGCAGCCTGAGACAATAAGAAATCTGGTCTCTTTGTGAGCCTCGTTGCTGTGTGAAGAGAGGGAAATTAAGGGCTGGTTAGTGCTAAAACAGTCCAGCCTACTGGTGCTGATGAACCAGGCCCCTTGCAGAGATGGAGCCCTCCCTCAGCGAATGACTTCACCATTAATCCAGTTGTTTGTCCTTAATTCTTCTCTTTCCTTCACAGTCCACAGCCATTACCAAATGTAAAGCCTGTCTACCTAACTTAGAAAATCTCCCTTAAAGTTGTCTGCTTCCCTTCCCCTCCAAGCCACCAGCATGGCCAGGCTACCATTATCTCATCCCCAAACAACCACAGAAGCTCCTCTGTGGTCCCCAGACTCCTCTCCTGCCTCCTCCTAAGTATTATCCACACAGCAAGCAAAGCAACGTGTGCACACAGACACACACACACAAACACACACGCATACACATACACACACCCTCTCTCAGGGCAGAAGAAGGCTGTTGTGTTCTTTGCAGGAGCCCAGTGGGGACCCTTAGAGATGGGAATTTATAAAAAAAAATCAAGCCTCAGCTGAGTATTCAGAAGAACCAGTAATGGTCAGAGATGGCCTGGCTCCCCTCAAAGGTAGGAAGTTTCCAACCCTGTACAGATGACCGGCTTGCTTTAGAAGTGGCTCCTCTGTCTGCCAGACAGCTGGCAAGGGAACCTGTGAGGTGGGGCTGTTCTGAGCCTCCGAGATCCTGAAAGGAGATGGAGAAACACTATGGCTATGGGCCCGCTGCCATGTCTGGGACCCTCTCTGGCAGGTGGGATTAGGCCCTCAGGGGCAACCTTTATGGTGTTGGGGTGGAGGCAAACCTGGCAGCTCCGTGGAAGTGTCTCTTTATGTGCCTTACCATTAGTTTTGTTCCTTCCTCCTGTTTGCTTTTCTTGGCTTCAAAGAATGACCAAGCCTGTGTTTGCTTTTTTAATTTGTCATATTAAATATAGCCTTTGTGGCAGGCTTTTACATCCAGGCTGTAAACTCTAGAAATGGAAATTGATCAGGGGGTGGTTGATATAACCAAGGCAGTAAATGCTAAGAACGGAGATGCCATTCCAGTTTAATGCTTTTATCCAGCGAATGTGCCTTGTAAGGAGCAGGCATAAATCTTGCAACTTGGGGGAGGGGTAGGTGGGGGCAGGGTAATAACCTTGCTGTATGTTACCACCAGGTGTCACTGTTAACTGGCGATGCAAAAAAAAAAAAATACCGGCTCCCCCAAACTCCGTCTAGTTAAATGACCTCAGTGGATAACGAAGGAAGAAATTATATATGAAGAAATTATATAGGGGGTGTGGGAGAAGGGGTCAGCATACCAGAAGCCAAAAATAAAGCAGTGGCCCAGAGCATAATCACGGGATGATGGATAGTAGGTCAGATAAGCCACGCCCCCTCTCAGTGATTACAGGGGCAAATTGTAAATTCCCCGTGGCCCTGGAAGACTCCCAGATGTCTCCCAGTAGGGAGTGGACCTCCACAGTTCTATGCCTTTCTGGTCATGGAGTCTTTTCCTCCCATACATGAAGGGAGTTTAAGATGAGAACATTCACCCCGTATTTCCACTTTTCCTTCAGGCCGTGCATGCACACAGCCTGGCTTCACTAACTTTATTAAAACCACAGTCCTTGAGCCAATCTCTTAGCTCTGATACTCCCGTCTTTTGCAGTGAGGTCTTATATCATCTGCAAAAGTGAGCCTTTTAGCCTGTGCTAAAAGCAAACAAAACCAGGCGTTACCCATTTTTGAAAAGATGAAGTCTCACAATACAGGACCAGAGCTCTTAGGCTGCTTCATCTCTACCCCTACTCCTCCTCCCACCAACCTGAGTCCAAGGGGGATGCAGGTGCCAGCAGGTAGTGACCCACTGGTACACCTGGGTGTGTAGGTGCCTACTAATGCCTGCTAGTTGTTAGCACTGCAGTTTCTGTGTGCGTGTGTGTGGTGGGGAGGGGTTTGCCTTCCAGCCCGCTCTGCCGGGCCACTGTGTAGGAGGGCAAAAGGCAGCAGCCTCAGAGTTGGACAAACCTAGGTTCACGTCGTACTGACTGTGTGGCCTTGGGCAAACGATTTTGTTTCCTTGCACTTCATTTCCTTCCTCTGTGAACTGAGGGTGGCTCTAACACCTTCCTCATGGGCTCTGTGCAGATGAAGTGCATTAGTGTGTTTAGAGTCTACTCTGTTCGTTCATTCTGTAGGTTGGTCACGGGGCTGCTCTGTGCCAGGCACTGTTCTGGGCACTGAAAATGGAGGAGACAGGACACAGGAGGCCTCTGCCCTCGTAGTGCTTTTTTTTTTTTTTTTAAGTCTGCTTATTTGTTTCTTCTAAAAGAGGGAGAGGCATCCCAACATGGCCAGCAAGTCACAATCCACCCCAAGTCTCAGCTGGCCCAGATCATGGGCACATATGTATGCCCAGTGTGATCAGGGAGGTCCCGGGATGGGAACCCAGGCCCTTTGCCATGTGAGTGCAGTTGTGTTGCTGCCATGCCACCACCTGGCCCCCATGGTGCTATTTATGTATGTACACACACCTCTGTGGGTTATATATAAATTAAGCAGATATATGATGCCGTATGTGTATATTACGTATACATATATTACATATCCTTGGCCGTAGTATTTCTGGGAAGCCTGCCTCCTCTTCAGTGCCTCCTCTTTACTGAAATCTGAAAGGTTTTCACCTCAAAAGACCTTTTTCATGTTAATTGTGCCATCCCCACACCCCGGTTTGCCTGAGAAGTCAGGGCCAGGTTTGAAGGTTCATTTACTGACTGACTTCCCTGCTTTCTTTCTAGCGGTAGGATGCTAGCCCATCAGAGAACCAGCCCGTACCTTCAAACCGTGGATGAGCACAGCCTGCACAGGCTCGTTCATTTCATCCCTGTCAGAGCCTCAGCTCCTGTCTTTACCACACATGCGCCTATTATATTTGAACGGATCGGGAGCCACAGAAGTGATCCGTTAGTTCAGCTGAGCTTGAAATTAGTAACTCCTTCCCTTCAATGGTGTGGGCAGTTGGTTTGAACTTGGACTGCAAAGATGTTTCCCCTTCAGACTGCACCTAGCATGGAAATGAGGGCACTCCTAATATTTTTCCTTT